GATACAGACATAAGAAAGTAGAACTGTTAGAAGACAAATAGCCTCCACCAAACTAGCAAACACCACCAGAATTATGTCCTGCATGTATGTGTCAGTGCAGGATAAAGAGAAAAGGGGGGAGATATCACAAAAGAAGTGGTTTATTTCCTTGGAGCAGAAATCCAGAAGGAAAGTGTTAGTGGTGTGAATAATCGAGCTCATAGTGCCCCCCAGAAATGCTCCAAGCACGAGCTGGTAGCAGACCCTCTTGGACATAATGACAGTATAAAGCAGGGGGTTGCAGATCGCTATGTACCGGTCGTAAGCCATGGCAGCCAAGAGGAAAGATTCTGTGTCAACCAAAGAGCAGAAAAAATACAACTGGGCAGCACAGCCGTGGTAAGAAATGGTCTTCTCATCAGAAATCAAGTTCGCCAGTAATTTGGGGGCAATGGCAGAGGAGTAGCACGTATCCACAAAGGACAGCATGCAGAGGAAAAAGTACATTGGGGTGTGCAAGTGCGGGCTGACTGTGATTAGCAAAATCATGCCAAGATTCCCCATCACGGTGACAGAGTAAATGGAGGAGAACACCGCTAAAAGCAGATGCTGAAGCTCGGGGTGGTCACTGAATCCCACAAGGAGGAAGTCCGCTGCGACACTGCAATTCTCCAAGCGCGTCATCCGCAGTGCTCCTCTGTGTCTGGAGTGGTGACAGAGTAGGGCGAAGTGGTGGTGATACCTGGACGCTGACTAAAGAAAAGAGAAAAAGATCGAAAAAAATAGGACAGTGACTCTAAACGCACTTGGGCATCCTCACAGCAGTGAGCTATGTCTACACTTAGAGCAGTTTACAGTGCTCCTTTAGATGTTTAAAATTAATCAGGGAATTTGCCACCTGCATTCCCGAAGCTGTTCGTTCTCCTCAATGCTGAGCAACACCACCTTCAAGCGAGGTGCACTGTCTGAATGTGTCATTTCAGTTTAGCTCATTTAATTCCCTCTTTCACCATCCACATCAGGTAATAGTAGATAATCACCTTGAGGTAGTAAATTCTCAAAACAGAAACTCCGTTCCCCTTTTTGGCTTCCTGTAAATTTTCAAAAAGTAGAACCATGTTACCACTCCAGGCAAGGCTTGTGGATGAGCTCCACACCAGCTTCGGCTTTATACTTTGAGCTGTGACTTCCCCTGGGATGAGGTAAAGAATTCTTTCAAGTGATTTGAAGTCCACTGATAACAAAGATTCTGAGTAAGTTAACTAAATTACTATCTCAGGCCAGCAAGATAGCTCAGCAGACTAAGTGCCTGCCTAGGTAAGCTCGGGGACTGTCTGTCTCTGTTTCTCTGTCTCTGTCTCTGTCCCTGTCTCTGTGTCTACCTCTATTCCTACTCCTATCCCTATCTCTATCCCTATCCTTATCTCTATCCCTATGTTTATCTATCTATCTATCTATCTATCTATCTATCTATCTATCATCTATCTATCTGAACTATGAATATCATGTGGAATAAAATAAAGGAATACCCTTTCACAGCTTCAATATACTTCCTGTCATGCTAACTAACTGATATCAATGGGCACTTTAGCCATTCTCCATGAATTCACACATATGCTTTGTTTTTAATCTATTGTCTAAGAATAATCGTTTCTTATGTTTAAAAATTTATTATAGCTAAGTGATGTGTACATAGCAAATATAGCCAAGAACATTTCCATGCCCTCCACAGTGGAAAATTGTAAAATACAAGACAATACAACACAACAACAACTGCAGTCAATTAAATAACCTTAGTTACTTATCCCTCTAAATTAATCCTACTTTTTCATTCTCCTTGTTCTAGTTTGCTACTCTATAAAGTACAGAGAACCATAGCCAATGCAAATAATTGTCCATGATCATTTTTGTGCAGTATATAAATAACTAATTTCTCTCCTCACTGTGGAAAAATGAAATTTGATATGTACTTGCCATTTATTTATGAATTCTTTGTCTTTAAAATTAGAGTTTAGAATTATTAATGCCATCAATAAAAGTTTAA